GCGGGCCCGGGCTCGCCTGGATGGGCGAACCCGAGGGTCTATATTTATAGGGCTTGGGGCTTAGTTTAAGGGTCTGGGGCTTCGTCTCGCCTGTACGGGCGGGCTGGTCTATATCTATGGGGTTTGGGGCTTAGTTCAAGGGTTTGGGGGTTTGTCTCGCCTGGATGGGCGGGCTCGGGCTCGCCTGGATGGGCGAACCCGAGGGTCTATATCTAGAGGGTCTGGGGCTGAGTTCAAGGGTTTGGGGGTGTGTCTCGCCTGGATGGGCGGGCCCGGGCTCGCCTGGATGGGCGAACCCGCGGTATAGGGTTTAGGGTTAAGTTCAAGGTTTTGGGGGTGTGTCTCGCCTGGACGGGCGGGCTCGGGCTCGCCTGGATGGGCGAACCCGAGGGTCTATATGAGGGTTTAGGGTTAAGTTCAAGGTTTTGGGGGTCTGTCTCGCCTGGATGGGCGGGCTCGGGCTCGCCTGGATGGGCGAACCCGAGGGTGTACATCTATAGGGTTTGGGGCTGAGTTCAAGGGTTTGGGGGTTTGTTTCGCCTGGATGGGCGGGCTCGGGCTCGCCTGGATGGGCGAACCCGAGGGTCTATATCTATAGGGTTTCTAATAAGGTTTAGTTCAAGGGTTTGGGGGTGTGTCTCGCCTGGATGGGCGGGCTCGGGCTCGCCTGGATGGGCGAACCCGCGGGTCTATATCTCTAGTTTAGGGTTCAGTTCAAGGTTTTTGGGGTGTGTCTCGCCTGGACGGGCGGGCTCGGGCTCGCCTGGATGGGCGAACCCGAGGGTCTATATCTCTAGGGTTTCGGGTAAAGTTCAAGGTTTTGGGGGTGTGTCTCGCCTGGACGGGCGGGCTCGGGCTCGCCTGGATGGGCGAACCCGAGGGTGTACATCTATAGGGTTTGGGGCTCAGTTCAAGGGTTTGGGGGTTTGTCTCGCCTGGATGGGCGGGCTCGGGCTCGCCTGGAATCCCTAAACCCTAAACCTTAAAACGCAGAAGCGTGGACCTCAAGCCTGACAGCACAACTTTTCGACCCCGAGCCGGAGCCTTGCCGATTCGTGTCAGGAGGTGACTCCTATCGGATTGAGGGTCCAGGGTTTAGGGTTTAGGGTTTAGGGTTCAATTAGGGTCTAGGGTTTAGGGTTTTGGGTTTAGGGTTTAGGGTTCAGGGTTTAGGGTTTAGGGTTTAGGGTTTAGAGTTTCGGGTTAAGGGTTTTGGATTGGCATGGCGGGTTGTAAACGCAGCCCAAAATTCGAGAGCCCATGAGAATTTTGTTTCTCCGGTTGCAGGGGTGGTCCCCTGATGCCACACCTTCCGCCCTAAACCCTCAACTCTAAACCCTAAACTCTAAACCCTAAACTTTAAACCCTAAACCCTAAACCCTAAAGCCGAAGCCCTAAACCCGACAGGGACCAGCACGGGGCTCGACAGCAGCATGCGGCCATCTCGCCAATATCGCCAGGCGGGCGACGTGGCGATGGGGTTTCGTGGGAGACAGGGTTTAGGGTTGAGGGTTTAGGGTTTAGGGTCTAGGGTGTAGGGTTCAGGGTTTAGGGTTCTTTTAGGCTCTGTAGACCGCTAAGGGCTACTGGGGTTTGGGTTCTCAGGATTCCCAGTGGGGCTCCTCGGGTTCTTCGGTTTCTTAGCTCTGACCCTCAACTCGAAACCCTAAACCCCAAAACTCCAAACTCTAAACCCTAAGTCCTAAACCCCAAACCCTAAGCCCCAAAACCTCTCTAAACCCTAGCACGCAGCCAGCATTTCGTAGCTTGGCCTGAGTCAGGGTTTAGGGTGTTAGGTTCAGGGTTGAGGGTTGAGGGTTTAGGGTTTCTGGTTTCGGTTGTCGGGTTTCGGGTTTAGGAGGGGAGGGGAGGGAGGGGAGATTTCTGGGGCAGGCCTGTATCTTGGTTCAGGGCATGAGTAACTTTCTTGGTGAGGCGACTTACGTTTACGAAAAGAGGACTCGATTATAGACGCCACTCAACTTCCTTCCTAGCCGGGCCCCCATGATAGGGTTCCGCAACCCCCGAAGCCCCCTAAAGCCCTTCCCCAAAATGAGCTGATCCAAAAAGGGGGCTTCTTAATGCGAAGTTTTCCTTATGAGCAGGCTAAGTATGTTTCGACGAACCCCACCAGGACTGTAAGCCCTGCTTTTTTGTCGGGCTCCAAGTCATGGTTTGGCTAGGATTTAGGGGTCTGTGGTTGGTTCTAGGGATTTTGAGTTCAGGCTTTTCAGGGTTTCGGGGTTTAAGGTGTTGGATTTGGGATTTGGGCATACATATGGAGCAAAATGTAGGCATGGCGCTTTGTTTTACAATCAAAGCAAACGGTTCCCTGGCTGAAGAAGCTCAAAGTTTGGGGGGACATGCCAAGGCCTGAGGTTAGGGGTCTCAGCGAGCTTAGGGGGTTGTTGAGATTGGGGCTTTCGGTTTTTCGGGGCGTTACGGTTGGCGGGCGGGTCATCGACTGCTATTGCTGTCGCTACTTGTAGTGCTACTGCTACTGCTACTTCTACGGCTACGGCTACTGTCGCCCATTGTCTCACACAATGGGAAAGCGGCGCGGCGGCTGGTCCAAGAAGTTCTCCTCCAAGGAGGAGCGTTTGGCTGCCACTGGGCGGCGGCCGCCACGGGGTGTGCCTTCTGGGACTGGAACATCTGGCGACACCGTGTCGCCCAGCCCGAGTCCAGTTCCTTGACCTGAGACATGGAGTTTTGCTTCAGGATTACTGTATCGGGTAGGCCTGATTCGAAGGTTTGGGATCATTCGATAGGACCTGGCATAAACCAGGCTTTTATTGTTTATGTCTTGTCGGCCGTCTGTGGAGGAGGCAGAGGCTGAGCTCGAGCCGCCGAGCGAGCCTGGCGCTGACACTGGCATCGCGAAGCCAGTGCCTTTGTGGGAATCGTTTCATTAAAGTGCTTTTGTGGGAATCGTTTTTTTTTTAGTCGAAACCCTATATTTTACATCCATTCGCACTTGGCTTGTTATGTCCTGTCAGCCTTCTGTGGGGAGGCAGAGGTTGAGCCAGAGCCGCCGAGCGAGCCCGATGCTGACATTGGCAGCTCGAAGCCAGTGCCTTTGTCGGAACTCCCACGTTAAAGCCGAAACCCTGGGTTGTACGTCCATTTGCACCTGGATCGTTCTTACAACCTCTGTAAAAGCCTCCCACACCTTCCATCTTTTCCCAGGACGCGGCGAGTGCAACAAACATGCCAGCTACGGCAGCGGAGACCCTCCTCCCGAGGCTGCCCTGGCCCTTTGTCTATGAGGCCGCTCCCACGGCCCCTGTGGCTGGGCGGGTCCCTGCTTCTTCGGCTGTGGCTTCGACCGACCCCTGGTCTCATTTATATAGGGTTAAAAAGTCGAGCAAATGTCATGAAGGAGGGCTAAACTGGTAAGTTTCCTCCTTGTACTCAGTGGCCTGTAACGGTCCCAACTCTAGTAATTGATGAGTGAGCTTCTTCACTGATGCTAGTTAGGCGTTATTTCCGGTAGTCGGGGCTGATAGTCTTCATCTCACCAGCGAAGGCGAATGCGGTGGCCGAGACAGCCAAGCGGCAGCGTACGGCTTGACACATTTGCTGGACTATTTCTTTTTGACGTCACAATCGTTCTGAAGGCAGGCTCGGCGCGTGCTAGTTTCTCTTGGACATCCAAGACAGCAAGGCCGTCGTTTCTTCCAGTCCGCGTTGGCTGCCAGCATGGCGGTCCAGTGCTGGGTCAGTCATTATGCGCGTTGCCGCAACCTCAATGTACTGGCTGTTTCTGCAGACATATGCAGACGTGGACGATCGCACCACAGTCCGAGACGTCTCGAGTCCCCAAACCCCAAACCCCTAGGCCCAAACCCCAAAACCCAAACCGAAAATCCCAAACCCTAATTATGGAGGTGAAGAGCAACGGGGCGAAGGACCGGGCCCCCATCAAGCCGCCGGACCTGGGCAAAGAAGGCCCCCGGACTTCAGGCAAAGGCTTCAAGCCAATTTTATGGCACTTTCAATCAGATCCCCCAAAAAGACAGAGGTCGACTCGAGGTCTGAGGGCATGAAGGTCGCATGGGAGTCGGTTCAGCCAAGCAGTTCCCAGTGGCCCCCCCCCCCTATTCCCCCCCCTTATTGGCTGGAGGAGATGTTCAGGCGGCAACTAGCGTGAGATCAGGGATCCTGGCAGCCCTGGAGCATCTGCGCATCGTGATGTTGACCGCAAGTTTTGTGATCGGACCACCGGAGAGACGGCTAGCCATGACCACGATGTCTGGGTCTGGGTGACAACGGCGACCTCTTTGAATCATTGAGATGGCTGCAACGCAATTAAATTGCATTGACTCTGCCATTCCATTTTTTTGAAACACTGCTTGGTAGGTCCGCGCGCAGCACGGGCTTCAACCGCTTTTGGGCGGGGCGAGCCGCTGCCGCGAACCGCAGCATGCGACTTCAGTGCCTCTGGGATTCAGCGCCTCTGGGACTCTGCATAAAAGATGCTGGAAGTTGTTCTCGAAATGTTGAGACCGAGATAGCTGACATTGTGCAATAGGGGCACGAGCTCGTCGGTTTTTTTTGCTGCTGCTGCTGTTTTGATTGAGCTAGCAAGAAAGACATTGCCAAGCAACACCACTCACTGTTGCTAAAACCCAAGGACCAGGCCTAAGACCAGGCGGGCATTGGCTTCAGAAAAACCAAGGACCCGGCGGGCCTAAGCTGACCGAGGGGATTTGGATGCCCAAGAAGCTAAGGAGGTGGGCCTTGGGTTGTTTTAGAAAACTCAAGGACCAGGCCTTGGGTTTGGGAGAACCCAAGGCCCGCCAATCACTCTTGTTAGCCTAGTGGTGCCGGCCTTGCTGCCATGACACTAGGGCGGATGCAGCAATGATGCCTTCCATCACAGAACAGTGCGAGTAGACTAGAGTAGACCTTAGGCTTGCAAGAAGAGTCAACGCGACCCCCCATCAGCAGCTTCACACGTTCCCGCAGCACGTGTTCGGCGAGCCATCCCATGTAGCATGCAGATTGTCCAGTTGCCATGTCGCTCTTCTGCCTTGCTGACTTTCTCAGCATCCCGGCTACGTGACTGGCACTTGGGTCCGTGGGTGGCGGCCACTGTGGAGCCTGCGAGACCCACGGAAGTCGGCGCTTCCGTCTGGGTGCTCGCTGAGGGAGTGCAGGACGCTTCGGCTGGGCCATGGATTGTTGCACGCATCCTTGAGGAGCTTCTTATCCTGGAGCGTCATGACTTGTCGTTGATCATGCGCCCAGTCGCCATCCTGACTGTTTTTGCGAGAGTGCAGCGCCTCGCTGCAGACAGGGTCACTCTGCGGTACCGCTTTGGAAGCCTCCCTTCCTGGCACACGGTGCACAGTTTCCGCGAACAATGCACTTTCTCGGAACTCTGGACACTAGCAGACGTGAGCAACTACGTCTTCGGCTGCATCTTCTATAGGTTTGCGCAAGTGTTCACGCCGCCGGAGTTCCGCACGTACGCGCTGGTCCTGGAGCACAAGCGCTGTCGCGGTCGTGAGCGACTGACCTTGAGAACGTTCTTGAGCATAGCTGACAGCAGCGAGTACTCATCTAGGTCAGAGTCGGAGGCAGACTAGTGCTGGAACCTACCACGCTTCTCTGTTGCAACGCAATACTGTGCGCTTCGGGCTCCGCGCCTGGGTCCCGCTGGGGCAGCTGGCGGGGGCGTTTTCAGAAGCGGAAATAAGCAGCTTCTTTCCGCTCGCCATTGGCTCCGCGCCTGGGCCCCGCCGGGGCAGCTGGCGGGGGCGTTTCCAGAACCGGAAATATCTGGCGGGAGCACATTCAGAAGCTTTTGTTTTAGACACTGCCTAGGTCCGCGCGCAGAATGGGCTTTAACCGCCTTTGGGCGGGGCGAGGCGCTGCCGCGAGCCGCATCCCTTTGGGCCTTTGGAAAAAATGATGCTGGAAGTGGTCCTGCCTTACCGGCGTCGAAATGTTGGGACCGAAAGAGATGACATTCTGCGGTAGGGGCATGAGCTCGTAAGTTTCCTGGCTGCTGCTGTTTACGTGAGCTAGCAAGAAAGACATTGCCAAGCAACACCAATCACTGTTGTTAGCCTCGTGGTGCCGGCCTTGTGCCATGACACTAGGCTAACAACGAATAGTTCTCAAAAGGAATGTCCATGCCAAACAGCAGCTGTGCAAACTTCACTGTGAGGACATATTCAGAAGCTTTTGTTTTAGACACTGCCTAGGTCCGCGCGCAGAATGGGCTTTAACCGCCTTTGGGCGGGGCGAGGCGCTGCCGCGAGCCGCATCCCTTTGGGCCTTTGGAAAAAATGATGCTGGAAGTGGTCCTGCCTTACCGGCGTCGAAATGTTGGGACCGAAAGAGATGACATTCTGCGGTAGGGGCATGAGCTCGTAAGTTTCCTGGCTGCTGCTGTTTACGTGAGCTAGCAAGAAAGACATTGCCAAGCAACACCAATCACTGTTGTTAGCCTAGTGGTGCCGGCCTTGTGCCATGACACTAGGCTAACAACGAATAGTTCTCAAAAGGAATGTCCATGCCAAACAGCAGCTGTGCAAACTTCACTGTGAGGACACACTGAAGTTTGCACAGCTGCTGTTTGGCATGGACATTCCTTTTGAGAACTATTCAGAGGGACTGCCGCACGCAACAGAGAAGTCGTTCCTTCTTTTCGCAAAGGGCGCATGCGCAGAGGGAAGGCCTCTGCGCAAGATCCAAGAATTCATTCCAAAGCAGATGGAGGAGATTGCAGAATGGGAACAAAATGTTCGTGGCAACTCGTCTAGACCGACCAAGTCGCAGCAGATGCTCGGAAGGGATAAAAGCCAGGTGTATTACTGGAGCGTGCAGTTGACGCGTGCTTCCTGTTTGTGTCGTTCGGTCTTCGGAGCTGATGCTCATCAGAAACATGTGCCGACCTCTGCAGAAGTCTGGGGGACCGCGAGCAAGTTCGCGAAACTATGGGACGCTACCTTGGCACGGAACTATGCTCACTTTCAAACTCCACACTCTGTTGCAACGCAATACTGTGCGCTTCGGGCTCCGTTGGCGATCACAACGAACATGCCCTTGCGCCAGTTGTTGATCTGGGCAGCCTCGGCCGCATTCCCTGCTTGAATCGGACGCCGCCTGTTGGCGCCGATCAGGTGGGCAAAGTCGGCTGCCCGCTGGCAAGAGTTCTCCCCGAACTCTCGCACACGGGCAGACTCAATGCCCAGATGTAGATCTCCGTGAAGTTGGCACGGCCGCAGCTCTACGCCGCATAATTTGGCGACGCAGCGCTTGGCGGCCTGGAAGACCCCCTGGTACGACGCGCCACTCTCGCTCGCCACCAAGCCATAGAGTAGCTCGCGAAAGGACGTGGTGCAGGGGGATCCAGTGCTCTTGGTGAGGCATCCGAACGTCACGAGCCGGTAACCGTCCCGCGTCAGGCTGTGAGTGCCATCTGTGCAAACGCGCAGCGACTCGACATCCACCTGAGCATGGCCTATTCGGGGTTGGGCTTGAGAGAGGGTTCATGTTTGCTGGTGTGTGAAGCAGATGATGGAGACGTTACATACACAATGGCGTCGCAACGGAAGACGCTGAGATGACCTAGACACCTAGACAGTCCCAGTCGCCAATTTCTCCATCACAGTGGTGACCAAGCGCGGAACTGTGAAGACGTAGTAGAAGTCTGCTTCAAAACTCCAGTCCAGCACGGTCAATTGAGCATCGTCCCGAATCCCAAGCATAGTTTGCGACCGAGCTCTGAAAACTTCGAAATCCGGTATTGTCCACGCAGTCTTCGATGCGGCCCGCGGGTTTTCCTGGTCTGGATCCTGCGCGATCTTCTTGCGCTCGTTGCAGAGAAAATTCTGTACCAGTTTCTCGTCCGGCAGCAAACGGCCCCCGAGTTTCTCCTGGAGGTGCTCCATGAGCAGCTGCAAGCGGAAGGGCTGATGGGCCTTCAGGTAGTTGCGGACCAGAGCCTTGCAGCGTAGCGTCAACCCTCCGTTCCCGTGTCTGCGACTCCTGTCGCCGTGGAGGTCCTCGGAGGTTGATCTCACGCGAAAGGTCTCTGCTTTGTAGGAGGCTATGCCACGAACGCCACAGGTCTTGCTTGGGCATGATATGCAGTTGAATCGGTACAAGTACCGGTTGCATGCCGGGGTCGTCTCATTGACCTGCATGGATATCTCTATCTCGCAGGATGAAGCCCACTTGCGGACCTCGGACACGAACTTTTCCCGGGACCAGTCCTTTTGTTTGTTTTTTTCCACAGCCACGTAGAGCTCCTCGGCCTGGTCTTTCTTTGGGCGCCCAGACGATCGCCCACGTCGAGCTCCACCGGCCACAGCCCGACCTGCGCCCCGGCCTCTAGCAGGACCAGCAGCGCGGGGCGTCACAAAGCGACCCCGCAAGATCGCTCGCCAACTGCCCCAGGGACCCACACGCGCAGCCAATTGCGATGCGGTTCGCGGCAGCGGCTCGCCCCGCCCAAAGGCGGTTAAGGCCCGTGCTGCGCGCGGACCTACCAAGCAGTGTTCACAGAAAAGGGATGGCAGAGTCAATGCAATTTAATTGCAACTGGACAATCTGCATGCTACGTGGGATGGCTCGCCGAACACGTGCTGAGGGAACGTGTGAAGCTGCTGATGGGGGGTCGCGTTGACTCTTCTTGCAAGCCTAAGGTCTAGTCTAGTCTACTCGCACTGTTCTGTGATGGAAGGCATCATTGCTGCATCCGCCCTAGTGTCATGGCAGCAAGGCCGGCACCACTAGGCTAACAAGAGTGATTGGTGTTGCTGGGCAATGTCTTTCTTGCTAGCTCAAGTAAACAGCAGCAGCCAAGAAACTCACGAGCTCATGCCCCTACTGCACAACGTCATCTCTTTCGGTCCCAACATTTCGACGCCCGAAGCGCAGAGTATTGCGTTGCAACAGAAAAGCGTGGCAGCTTCCGGCACTAGTCTGCCTCCGACTCTGACCTAGATGAGTACTCGCTGCTGTCAGCTATGCTCAGGAACGTTCTCAAGGTCGCCGTTGTCAGCCAGACCCTAACATCGTATGTCTTTCTCGCTAGCTCATGTAAAACAGCAGCAGCAAAGAAACGCACGAGCTCATGCCCCGATTGCACAACGTCATCTGTCTCGGTCTTAACATTTCGATGCCAGCATCTTTTATCGCCCCGCCCAAAGGCAGTCAAGTCGCATGATGCGGCTCGCGGCAGCGGCTCGCCCCGCCCAAAGGCGGTTAAAGCCCATGCTGCGCGCGGACCGACCAAGCAGTATTTAAAAAAAAGGATGGCAGATTCAAAGCAATTTAATTGCGTTGCAGCCATCTCAGCGCTTCGGAGAGGTCGCCGTTGTCAGCCAGACCCAAACATCGTAGTTATGGCTAGCTGTCTCTCCGGTGGTCCGATCACAGGTGTTCGAGCCATTTTTGCTGCAGAGGGGGCGTCACAAAGCGATCCCGCAAGATCGCTCGCCAACTGCCCCAGGGACCCACACGCGCAGCCGATTGCGATGCGGTTCGCGGCAGCGGCTCGCCCCGCCCAAAGGCGGTTAAGGCCCGTGCTGCGCGCGGACCTACCAAGCAGTGTTCACAGAAAAGGGATGGCAGAGTCAATGCAATTTAATTGCAACTGGACAATCTGCGTGCTACGTGGGATGGCTCGCCGAACACGTGCTGAGGGAACGTGTGAAGCTGCTGATGGGGGGTCGCGTTGACTCTTCTTGCAAGCCTAAGGTCTACTCTAGTCTACTCGCACTGTTCTGTGATGGAAGGCATCATTGCCGCATCCGCCCTAGTGTCATGGCAGCAAGGCCGGCACCACTAGGCTAACAAGAGTGATTGGTGTTGCTGGGCAATGTCTTTCTTGCTAGCTCAAGTAAACAGCAGCAGCCAAGAAACTCACGAGCTCATGCCCCTACTGCACAACGTCATCTCTTTCGGTCCCAACATTTCGACGCCCGAAGCGCAGAGTATTGCGTTGCAACAGAAAAGCGTGGCAGCTTCCGGCACTAGTCTGCCTCCGACTCTGACCTAGATGAGTACTCGCTGCTGTCAGCTATGCTCAGGAACGTTCTCAAGGTCGCCGTTGTCAGCCAGACCCAAACATCGTATGTCTTTCTCGCTAGCTCATGTAAAACAGCAGCAGCAAAGAAACGCACGAGCTCACGCCCCGATTGCACAACGTCATCTGTCTCGGTCTTAACATTTCGATGCCAGCATTTTTTATCGCCCCGCCCAAAGGCAGTCAAGTCGCATGATGCGGCTCGCGGCAGCGGCTCGCCCCGCCCAAAGGCGGTTAAAGCCCATGCTGCGCGCGGACCGACCAAGCAGTGTTTAAAAAAAAAGGATGGCAGATTCAAAGCAATTTAATTGCGTTGCAGCCATCTCAGCGCTTCGGAGAGGTCGCCGTTGTCAGCCAGACCCAAACATCGTAGTTATGGCTAGCTGTCTCTCCGGTGGTCCGATCACAAAACTTCCGGTCAACATCCAAGGTGCGCAGATGCTCCAGGGCTGCCAGGATCCCTGATCTCACGCTAGTTGCAATCTCTGCGACTGTCAGCTCCTCGGTCAGCTTCGACCACAGATTCCTATTCGTCTGGATTCTACGAGCCTCGTTACCGTCCCCCACACTCACATAGCCAATTTCCACGGCCTTGAGCAGGACCACGGAGCCCGATGGCACGTCATATGAGTCCAGACCCAGATCTTCATTTAGATGTTGCTTGGCTAGAGCGTGTCTCTTTGCACATGTCACCTTCTCTGGCAGCACTGCAGCGTGAGTTCTCAGGTCCAGTGCGATCTCTTGATGCTGGCGCATCATGTCTTCACTCAAGGCCTCTTGCAGCAATAACGCCAATTGGTGATGCGAAAGCAAACACTTCCGGTACTGTGGGTCCTGCCTCAAGCAGTTCTGGGTTGGCCGGTTTTTTGTCTCAATCATCCAAGACCCTCCTCCCCGTAGGTCTGACACGAGAAACTCGCCGAGGTGTCTCTGGATGTTTTTTCGCTGCTGCGCGGCCAGTGCCATGACGTCGAGCGCCTTGTAGTTGACTGCGTCAGCCTCCGCACCCAAGCTCTAGAGTTTCCCGAAACGTTATGTAGGGTTTCCGTTAGAGGTTCATAGGGGTTCACGATTCCATGAAATTGAAAGCTGCAAGTAGAAGAAGGGTTCTGTGAAGGCCTCGTAGACTAGAATCCTGGTTGGACTACTACTTCTGAATTAGACTTGGAGTTTCCGTGTGGTCTCAATGCCGTGATAACGCTTTCAGTTCCCGTCTGCCTTGGACTCGTCGAAGCCACATCTCTGGACGGCCTCCGACGCGATCAAGAGCTGCCGCCTCAGGCAGTCGACCGTCCCCAGCGCGAACAGCTCGCTGTGTCGAACACACGCGTCAATACAAGCCAAAAGATGCCGAATCGTCTCATGCGATTCTTCGAGGCTCGACAGGCGCTGTGTCTTGGAAGAGCTTGGCTGCTCGTCTGCAGAATCTTGCCTCCGGATGCCGCTAAAAACAGGTGGTTCCTGCACGCGGGCAGCTGGTGCCTGGGCAGCCCCAGTCAAAAGCGGCTGAGTTGCTTGAGTAGAAGACTCCTTCGGTGGAGTCCGCTGGCGACTTCCTGCAGCTGGAGTAGACAACTCCCCCGGCCGAGCCAGAACGGATGGATCAGCAAAGGCCTGCGGACAGCCCGGGAAATGTGAGGAGTGCCAGCGGATTGTACAATTCATGCGCACATGCGGGTCATCCGTCACAGCTCCCTGGTGCATCTCAATCTCCCGGCTCATCCCCGTTTTCTCCCACGTCTGCATTCCGGCATACATGGAACTGGACCTCAATTCACTCCAGGTGCGGCGCGCAGGTACGCCGTGCAAAAACTCTGATTGAAACTGTCCAGCCATCAGCAAGGCATCCCCGTCTGACTGGTACAACATCTTCGTCGGTCCAACTGGCGTCTTGGACCTCTTAATGTTGGACGTCAAAGTCAGTACACCCCCGTGACCGAAGGACAAAGAAGCGATAGGATCCAGATGATTGTATGTGGCACATAAGTCTGCGTGAGGTTCAATGTGATGGTGCTGCTTGTGGTCGTTCCAGTTCCACAAAACCTGCCACGTCCTGTCCAGCCAAATTGGGCGCATGTGTGGAGTTTGAAAGTGAGCATAGTTCCGTGCCAAGGTAGCGTCCCATAGTTTCGCGAACTTGCTCGCGGTCCCCCAGACTTCTGCAGAGGTCGGCACATGTTTCTGATGAGCATCAGCTCCGAAGACCGAACGACACAAACAGGAAGCACGCGTCAACTGCACGCTCCAGTAATACACCTGGCTTTTATCCCTTCCGAGCATCTGCTGCGACTTGGTCGGTCTAGACGAGTTGCCACGAACATTTTGTTCCCATTCTGCAATCTCCTCCATCTGCTTTGGAATGAATTCTTGGATCTTGCGCAGAGGCCTTCCCTCTGCGCATGCGCCCTTTGCGAAAAGAAGGAACGACTTCTCTGTTGCGTGCGGCAGTCTCTCTGAATAGTTCTCAAAAGGAATGTCCATGCCAAACAGCAGCTGTGCAAACTTCACTGTGTCCTCCCAAGACGTAACACCCGCGGGCCAGGACCTCTTTGTCATGGCTCGCCGAACACGTGCTGAGGGAACGTGTGAGGCTGCTGATGGGGGGGCCCCTTGACTCGTCTTGCAGGCCTAAGGTCTACTCTCTAGTCTACTCGCACTGTTCTGTGATGGAAGGCATCATTGCTGCATCCGCCCTAGTGTCATGGCACAAGGCCGGCACCACTAGGCTAACAACAGTGATTGGTGTTGCTTGGCAATGTCTTTCTTGCTAGCTCACGTAAACAGCAGCAGCCAGGAAACTTACGAGCTCATGCCCCTACCGCAGAATGTCATCTCTTTCGGTCCCAACATTTCGACGCCGGTAAGGCAGGACCACTTCCAGCATCATTTTTTCCAAAGGCCCAAAGGGATGCGGCTCGCGGCAGCGCCTCGCCCCGCCCAAAGGCGGTTAAAGCCCATTCTGCGCGCGGACCTAGGCAGTGTCTAAAACAAAAGCTTCTGAAAAGGCTCCCGCCAGATATTTCCGGTTCTGGAAACGCCCCCGCCAGCTGCCCCAGCGGGGCCCAGGCGCGGAGCCAATGGCGAGCGGAAAGAAGCTGCTTATTTCCGCTTCTGAAAACGCCCCCGCCAGCTGCCCCAGCGGGACCCAGGCGCGAACATGCGGCGTCCCAGGCCGCACGTTTGAAGTAGCTCGCTGCAGTGTTGACAGTGCCCTCGTAGCTTCTAGAAACCATAAAGTCTGCGCCCTCACGCAGACACAGGACACGGTGGCGACGGTCGAGGAGATGGTGCACTTCTCTCGGTTCATCACGAGAGGACTGTTTGATTATGTTTGGACAGAGCTACTACATGGCTTTCGACAGAGCGGCGAAAGTGACGTAGCCGATTGCTTAGAGCGACACTACTTGGAAGAAGACCCGGCGGACGGAGCTCTGAAGGCTTGCTGGCAAGGCAACTTCTGCCAGTGCGTTCCGGGTTTTGCGTCCGGCTCGCAGTCCCAAGAAAACTTTCACAAGACGAGGCTGAAGGTTTCGATAAAGCTCCGATCCTCGCTAGGGGATTTCTTCCTAGCCATGCAGAAGTTCATGCTCACCCGGGCCAACACCTTCCGCCAGTTACGCGGTCGCTGGTATCAAGTGCCGAGTGTTTGGGACAAGCAGCTCCTCCATGGAGCCAGCATGAAGAAGCAAGGCAGGACGACGGTGGAGGAGTTTCAGTCCTCCACCAGCCACGTTCTTGTGAAGGCCAGGACGACTTGTCGTGATCATTTTCTAGTACTACAACCACTACGACTACTACTACTACTACTACTACTACTACTACTACTACTACTACTACTACTACTACTACTACTACTACTACTACTACTACTACTACTACTACTACTACTACTACTACTACTACTACTACTACTACTACTACTACTACTACTACTACTACTACTACTACTACTACTACTACTACTACTACTACTACTACTACTACTACTACTACTACTACTACTACTACTACTAGTACTACTAGTATAACTACTACGACATGATGTCTAGAACGTCGAAGGACAAGGGCTACAAGTACTACGTCATGCTGCGGTCCTTTTACCGAAAGGTTCAGGACAAGTACGTTTCAGTTCACAGCGGCGTGCCAGAGGAGCTGAGCCAGGCAGCCTGGAGGGGGTCAAATTAGAGGTTTGGGCTCTCCAAGTTGGGCCTCGCAGAGCCTAAGAAAGCACTCGTTGACATGTGAGGACCTCGCCAAAAAATTGGCACGCCTTGCGGAGGCGTGGACCGGTGAGGAGGTCTGCGCGGCAGTGGCTGAGCTCAAGATCGGATCACTGGAGGAGCTGACCAGGCTGGTCTGCCGGTATGCCGTCGTCATGCTGGGTCCCAAGTACACGGACATGTGGCGCGCCTCGGTGCAGGCCCCCTGCGATCACACGCTCGGGGTCTGCGCTTGGTGCAAACCATTTGCCATCCATGGCGGATGCGAACACTTGTACGACAGTCTGGTCCAGGAGAAGAAGCTGCGCCTGGATAGACCCTGGGAAAAGAAGCTCGACCCTCCTAGAAAGAAAAGGCTTCCAACGGCCTTGGACTCGGTCCCGAGGAAGAAGAAGCAGAAAGTGCTCAGCAGCCAGCCGTACGACCGCACTCCCCGGCGCAAACGAACAGTGGCCAGGGCGGCGGCAGATGCAGAGACGCCGGGGCCTCTCACAGCAAGCCCGGCCAGGCTACACTCGGAGCGTGACAGGCCTGGAGTAGATCACAACGGACCCCCAAACCCCCGAGTGCTTGAACCGTTCATGCTGGGAAGCCCGTCCCAGGCAGAGGCACATCGCGGCGTCCTTCTTTTTCGACCGGGTCAGGTCGGTCAGGCAGCAGCAGCGGCGCCAGAAACGGGCGCGCTCGAAAGACCATGACTGTGACAGCTGATCTTTCCGATGCTTGGGGCACGCGCAGGGCGTAGAGGCATTGATCGAGAGATAGTCTACTGTAAGGAAGGGCGTCCTCGAGCATCGTCCTGCAGTCGCGCGCAGCATGGGCTTCGACCGCCATATGGGCGGGGCGGGCCGCTGCCGCGAACCGCATCATGCGACTTCACGGCCTTTGGGCTTTAACCGCCGTTCCGGCGGGGCGAGCCGCTGCCGCGGACCGCATCATGCGACTTCACTGCCTTTTGGGCGGGGCGATAAAAAATGCTGGAAGCGGAAATAGAGAGTGGGGGGTATGATAAGGCTGGTCAGGGGGGCAGTTCATGCAAGAATGGCTCATTGAGCAGCCTGAAGCCCTAAGCTTTGAAGTTCAGTGGCAAGCAGTTGCTCGGTCATCCGGGAGGTTCTGAGGCTCGAGCTCATAAGGTCAGGAAAGAAACGATGGCGCGCCAGCGCTCGCGGTCCCCGGCCGAGGCGGGCAGCTAGTCCTGCCGGACGGGCTCACGGGCGGGAATGGGGGTGCTAGGAACGAGCAGTCGTGCAGTCCGCAGTCCTCTACGTTCTGCAAGCTTCTGAAGGCATGGAAGTACAACGCATGCAAACGGTGCTCCGCAATATCGTCACATCTCACATGCGCAGGCATCGCGTGCTGCCGTCAGTGCCAGGGCGCGCATCGCGGGGCGCTTCGTGTACCCGACGAACGAGGCTGGGACGCGCAACAGCATCACGGATGGCCGAGAGGTGGCAGGGACACGTGCGGCGCAGGAGGAGGCGGGACGCCTTGCAGTCTTGTCTGTGCATGCGCCGGACACTCACATGCTGGCCTTGCAGTCTTGTGCGTGCGCTGGACACACACACACGCTGGCCCACCCTGCCGCTGATGCAGGTTCGCCGGGCCGTCGGCTGGTTGCTTGCAGTCGATGCTCATCGGATTGACGGTCCCGGGGAGATGCTGATCACGCGCAAGCTGACGCAGAGGCTGCCCGACTCCCTGACGTACGCGTCAAGTGAGCACTTAGGGCGGTGCTTGGAGGACGTCTCCATGCTGACCCTCGCGGAGACGGATGCTTTGCGACAGGAGGTTCGCGGGCTGTTCTTTCTCTTCGATGCCTTGCAGACCAAGCTCCTGGGCGACCCGAACTTGCCGTGGGCCGCCAAGACCCGGGTGCAGCAGCGAGTGCACGAGAGGATCATGCGCGCAGAAGAACTGTTTGAGTCCGAGCGCCCGGAAATGCAGGGGCAGCGCTCGAGTCTGCGCCTGAGACCTTGAACGGGCGTGGCGGCCCAGGACGGATTCTTGTCCTGGGCCGCCGGCCTGGAGGCTAATTCGGAATTATTGTGGATGATGTTTCCAGGAGGTTGCCGCCAGTAAAATGGCCAGAACACGTAGAGACATTGAGCGAGAAATAGTCTACTTGTAAGGAAGGGCGTCCTCGAGCATCGTCCTGCAGTCGCGCGCAGCATGGGCTTCAACCGCCATATGGGCGAGGCGAGCCGCTGCCGCGAACCGCATCATGCGACTTCACGGCCTGTGGCCTCTTCACGAAGACTTTCCCGTGCGTGTGCCTCCTGAGAAAGATTGTCCTGTGCACGCATGGTGTTGACAAAGATTGTCCTGTGGGTCAACATCCTAAACTCCCGTGGGCATCGAGCATTGAGCATGTTCCTGGTTGCCGTGTTCCGTCCTTGCTGCGCTGTTCTCGGTCCAAATAGGGGCGAGTGGTCTTGCCGAGGCAAGGCTGCCTACGCGCATGAAGAAGCCAGCGGCCGCGGAAGGCCGCCAGCGTCCCGGCAAGGGCACGCTGCCTCATCACACCTGCAGCGACGAAGCAACGGGGTGTTCTCCTCTCAGGAAAGACATCTCCGTCGCAGATGAGAAGGAGTTTGAGCTTCTGCCCCTCTACCACCGCCTTCTACGGCACAGGCAGGAGGACGCCCAGGCTGGCTCCGATGATGGTGTTGCAGTTGATGTCCCGGCCTGGGCGATGCGTTATCTTGAGTGCAGCGCGGCAGACATGTGCAAAAGCGCCGCGGACTTCAGCGCGGACGAAGTGCTAGACATTGTTCAGTCCGCCGCAAGGTGCTCTTCCGGCTCGACCGCGGACTTTCAAGACGAGGACATGGAGGCGATGCCGGCGCCAGCAGCCAAGCAGGCCAAGAAGGCAGCAAAGGCGCGGGAAGCTTCAGCGAGACAGCTGAAGGAGACGCGCTGGGGTCGTTGTTTGGCGCCATGGTGTCGCCGGCTGGCGTTGCAGCCCGTGTTGGGTAGGCGAGGCCCCTTTTTGGTCTGCAAGGGCAAAAATGGTTGCCACTTCAAGAAAGAGCTGTCCGCAGCCCAGTGGCGCACGCTGCCTGCTGCCTGGCAGAAGTACTGGCCGGCATCTTGGGCGGCAGTCAAACCGCAACTGCGCCCCTGCAGGCCCGCGGCCTACCTCGGCGCCGCTCGATCTGTACGAGTGCGATGCCGTTCGGGCGGGCAGCCAGCAGAGGCGTCCCAGAACGTCTTCGATTCACAGGACTCGTCGGATGCAAGTCTCTCCCAGGCAAGAAGTGCAGGGGACGGATCCGAGTGACATGAGCGTCGAGCAGAAGTTCGAGGTGTGGGAAGCCTGTGAGGCGGCGTCTT